GTTTCACAGTGCTGCGTTCAACCCCCTGCACCACTGGGGAGGCCCAAGTTCTGGGCCTAGTGTTTTGTTTTGTTTTTTTTGAAATGGTAAACATACACCGAGGAAATAGCGTGATTATAAAAGCATGAGGAGCCGCTGTTCATTAAATGAGGTATGAGAAAGGAGGAATGGATTTCTATTTTACCTTTGCCACCAACAAAAAATGTGACCATGGAAAAGTTCATTTCTTTAATCCTTTTCTCATTCAGAGAATATAGACCTTCTTCATTATGGGCTCAGCATCCTATTATGGGGAACCCTCTTTGTGGGGAGCTTATTGCGTAGTCCTAGTTGAGCTGATAACAGCTGATAATAGTTTCCTATAAAGATTTTCAAATTAGAGAATGCTGTCTCTTGCATTTGTACTGGGATATGAAATTGATGCTACTAGTAGCCATCTCCTCCAGAAAATTGCAAGAACCCTGACTACTGTGAGAGTCACACACACACACACACACACACACACACACAGAGAGAGAGAGAGAGAGAGAGAGAGAGAGAGAGAGAGAACACTGAATAATGGAACACAAGACCCTGATGATATCATTTGAGTCCTTGGATTTAGCCATAGATGGAAGAAAGATCCATTCTTGAACTTCTTGTTACCTGCACTAAAATGTTGCTTTTTTTTTTTTTTTTTTTTTTGGCTTACTCTGTCTTGGTTTTTTATTTGTTTGTTGTTTAAATCACTTGTACCTGAATATATCTTAACACTACTCCTTTCTATCCAACCACTTCTCAAGATTTCTATGCTTCCTTGGTCCTAGAATCAGTCATTTCTCCATGGAACCTTGGTTCTTTTTAATAGAGAATGAATTTAGAAACCAAGATATAGGATACTGATGTTCATAGGCCTTCTAAAGTGGGCAGAACTAGGCAAGAAATACATGTCTGTACATGTATGTATACAATATCTACCTATCAGTATCGATTCATACATCTGACCAATTGAATTTATTCCTATAAATACAAACGGTGAGTCCATGTCAATATCTCCACCCCAACTAAGTACCATAGGATTTATTTTCATTTTGTCTTTCCTGATTTATAATTTGCTTCTCCATCAGTGAGAAAGCTGTTTCCCATTGTTTTAAATATATATATATATATATATATATATTCATTTGATTTACCTTCCTGTTTATAACCAACCTACTTTCACTGTTTCCACCTCCCTAACCCTACCTCATGCAGTTGCCCCCCTCACCACCATTGGGTGCACATCATCCACTCAGGCTACAGGCACCTGTGCAGATGTTTTCCTTATATCTTTCAGGCTCTGACCTTCCTTAGGTTGTTGTCACTTCTCTCCCCCCTATTAAGATCTAACGTCTCACTTAGAAGGAAGGGAGGGAAGGAAGGAGGGAAGAGCAGTAGGAAGGAAGGGCACTGAGGAAAGATGGAATGGGAGGGAAAGGTGGCAGGGAAACAAGCAGATAGTAGACTTTGGAAATTTATTCTCCAGGGCAGCAAACAATTCCCTCACCCCAACACCAGACAAATTAGAGCCAAATTGGATCATAAAAATTTCATAATTAATTATGGAAATGGGTGTCTTTCCTTTTCATTAAACTATCAGTGGCATAGCATTTATTTTTTAGACTCAGAATAAACACCTGTAACATATTCTAAGTACTAAAGTAGAACAAAACAGACAGGATCTTCCACCTTTCCATCTAGGTCAAATTCTTGGAAATACCTGGAGGGTAAAAACCAGTGTATAAGAAGAGATGATTAACCCTTTGTAATGAAGGACTATGACTCACTTCCATAGGAGGTGGGTTATAGGCTTTGGCTTTTCACTCTGTATTTTCTGTCGTACAAATACCATATTACTTGTGTGCATGTTTGCTTCTCAGTCAATCCATACATTCTTCAGGGGTCAGGCCTGTTTCTCAATCACCTTTGTGTCCTCATCTAAGATTCTATATTTCCAGTGCATGGAAGTTAATGGCATACATGTGTGCTAAATGAAATAAAATTCCCTGAAGTTTTGAAAATAGGCAAGGGATTGGAACCAGTACTCTGAAAATTATTATAAAGCTACTTTGTCTTTAGCATGACTTAAAAATACCTAGAACACTTTTTGCTATCTTCTTATAGCACTGTTCCTTGGAAATGATAGACATTCAACAAAAATATTTTTAATTTAATTAAACAGATCTTATCCAGAGTAATCTCCTGGCCAAATGCCCAGAATTCCTGAACCTGAACTAATTATAGTCACAAAGGAGGTTTTGCAGTATGAAATATTTGAAAGTTAACAATGGTCAAATACATATCATGAGACAATAAAAACATTCAAAGGGTATTTGAAGTTCTTTCACATTTTTTAAATGATGTTTAGTTACAATGCAAACAATGTTTAAAAATGAAAACCATGAAATATTTAGCAGGTGCATGTTTAAAACAGAAAATTGGCAAAGGCAGAAAAGTGCTATTAAATTTCAATTTGACACTGCAAATTTTGTAGTGCTTAATGCAAAAAAAAAATGGAAGGATGCTTACTTTGTAATTATCAAGTTTAGTTGATAATGTAAACACTCAAGCTGTGAAATCTCAATAATGATTTAGCTTGTCAGTTGAAATTGTTATGTTTAGTTTACACAGACTTAAGTAAAGTAGACAGTTTTTGATTCTGTTCTCTTTGTATTGTTTTATAGCAACTCTGTTGTGCTGAAATCCTGCTAAGAATATCATGGGCATCTATATCATGATAAATACAATAAAATACTGAAAATGAGAAACATCTGACTCCTTTTAAACTTTTTGTTTCTTTTTGGATTAGAAAATTCATAAAGAGTCATTGTAGAAATTTGGAAAATTAGCCAAGGTATAAAGAAGAAAACATACAACCAACAATTATTAGCTCTAACTCACCATTCTTTCTCTCATTGAATTATTGTAATAGCTTCCTAAGTGGTTCCCTGACTTCAATCTCCATCCAAACCAGCAGCCACAAGGATATAGCTAAAATGTTGATCAGGTCATGCCACTTTTAAACTCAGAACTCTCCAGTGCCCCCACATCACTCAAAATGAAAGCCAAAGTAACTTACAAAGGCCTGCAAAGCCCTATGTGACCCCTCCCCTTAGCCCTCTGCTGTTTTCTTTCTGTGTTTTTGTCAGGCCAGTTGTGCTCCTGCTTCTCCATCCTGCTGGCTGGAGCATTCTCCCCTAAGTAGCCCTCACATCTTTTCAGGTTTTCTCTACAATGACATCTTTTCAATGAGGCCTTTGTTTAATTGTCAGTCCTCCTATATCCTTACCCACCTTCTCTGATCACCATATCGCACATCACATAGTTTATTTTGTCTAATAACTGTCCCTTCCTGCTAGGACATAAGCTTCATAAAAGCAGAGCTTTTTTAAAAATATGATCTTGTTTGCTGCTATGTTAGTTTTTTAATGCTGTGTGAAGACATTATCATTTAGTGGCTCAAAACAACAGCCATCATTTATTATCTCATGATAATTTCAGGGGTGTGGAATTATAAGGGGCCTGGCATGATTGCTGGCTGGGGGCCTTTCAGGAGGTTTCGGTTAGATGTTGGCCAGGACAGCAGTCATTTGAACGTTTGACTGGGGCTGGGGAATCTGCCGGCAAGCAGCTCACTCATGGAACTGCAAACCAGTGCTGGCTATTGCCAGGATGCTCCAAGTCCCCTCCAGGAGGATCTCTCCACATGGTGTGCGAGGTGGCTTCTCCAAGACTGAGGGATCCAAGAGAGCAAGGGAGAAACGGCAATGTACTTTATGACCGGCACTCAGAAATCACACACCAATGCTTCCACTGTACTTTGTTAATCACACATGCCAATCCCATTCGGTAAGGAAGGTAAGTACACATGGAGTTGAATATCAGGAGGTAAAGAACTTTGAAAACTACCTTGGAAGTTGGCTAGTGCAGGTGCTATATCCCCTGTGCATAAACACTCTCTGACACAAAAATATTTTTTGAACAAATGAATAAAATCTTCCAATCAGCTTTTTATAAGTACATTTATTTGAAGCCCTTTTTCCTGGGGCCTCCCTGGTGGCGCAGGGGTTGACATGCAACCTATGAAGCAATCCACAGCCACTGCAGTATGAGTTTGATTCCCGGCCAACCAGGGAGCAACCCACATGGCGTGGCAGACCTCTTCTGTCTCGCCCGCTGCTCCCCTCAGCAGTGTACTTCGGTTAATCTGCCTGTTCTGTTCCCCACTCTGTCTGGTGAGTCCTCTCACCCCTCACACCTCTGGCCTATACCCCAGCTCTTGTATGCATAAATAAATAAATCTTTAAAAAAAAGAAAGAAGAAAATGAAACCTTTTCCCTAAGCATATGCATTATATTGTTTATTAGAAATTGAAATTTCTCTCTAGATACATTGCTGTAATTTATACTCTAAATATATGTAATTGTTATCAATTTTATTATATGACATTTAATGTCTTTCTAAAATTGCATCCTCTCGATATGCAAGTTACTATAGCGCTCGTCTTATCATTAACATGTTTCTAGATTTTTTTGTTATAGACTCTTATGAACATTTTTGTAGTAAATCTTTGAGAAAATCTCCCAATAATTCTTAGGGAACATCCTAGGCATAAGATCTAAGATTGTGAACACTTAAAATACTGATTTAAATTACAAAATTGTTTCCAGAAAGTTCATATGTTAGGCAAATGGTGTATGAGCATGTCTGCTTCACCACTCGTAATTAGTATATAGTGTTGCTACTTTATCAGAACCGGAAATTTTGATCAGGAAGAAACAACCTAAAGACCTTAGAAAAATAATACATCTTTTGAATTTTGTTTTATTTTTCATTAGTTTTCTTTTTTGTGATACTGACTTTCTCTAGTCAAAATAGACAAAATTTACAGATGAGGGAAGAAGCTAGAATCAGCATGATTTTAAGTTTTGTAGCAGGATGGAAGATGGTGCCATTTAAGAGATATTTATTGTGATATTGATATGTGAGAAAATTTTAGTGAGGAAGATGGATTGGGAAGGAAATACATAACTCCATTTCAGTCACCTTCAGTTGAAGCAGTGGATTGATAGCTGTGCTGCCCAGTATAGTAGCTGCAAGACACACATATGCCTGTCAATCACTTGTGGTAGGGGTAGGCTGAATTGAGATATTATGTAAGAGTAAAATACTAAAATACGCCCCACATTTAGAAGACTTAGTGAGAAAAAAAAAAGCTTGTTAATGATTGCATTAGTTAAGGTCCAACCAGGAGACAGCGCTCACCCAATTTGAAAAGGGAAATTCGTTATAAAAGAATTATTAATAACAATGGGGAGCAACTATAAAGATATAAAAAGAGAACTCAAAGACTATCCTGAGGCTAAAGGAGTTTCTAAGGAAGGCAAACATTGAACTTGGCCTCCACTCTAAGGCTAGGATTTGATAACCAGAGGTGTGGATACAGCCCCACTAAATGGCAGAAAAGTTCACTAGGTAGCCCAGGAGGACGCTGACCCACAGTTGCCAGGCAAGCAGGAAAGATCCCTCCAGGGTGCTGATGAACTAAATCTGGCATGTAGGTGTGCAGACGACTCAAAGTATCGGGAACCAATTCTCTGGCAGGAGGACAGTGATGCATGACCCATTTTGGTCAGGAGGGCCATGGGAAACACCATCCATGGTGCAAGCTTCATGAAGCTGTTGGTGATAGATGTACAGATGGTTTTAGGGCATCATTTACCAGCAGGGTGCCATGAACATTGAGGTGAGTGGTATCTCCTTCAGGAGGCGCAGCAAGATGGTCACTCAACTGAGGCAGGGGCAGTAAGCTTGCAGAGGCATTGCACATTCTTGGTGTGAGGCGGGGTCAGCGTGTCCTTGCATGTCCACCCACACACTCCTGCTAATAATACCAAGAAGAAAACAAAAAATGCATTACAGCAGAACCAGAAAACCAGTCCCCCATCCTGCAATGTCTCTCTATTGAAAAAAAGTTAACATGCTTGCTGCAAAGAAGAAATTCATAAAGTTCCATTATCATAAGCAGGTCATGCATGATAAGTTTAGAGCTGAGAGATAATAAATTGATAACTGGTGCATTCATTAATATTTTTATATTGATTCAGTTTGAAACAATTCTTGGATATATCAGGTTAGATAAAACATACAATTAGGGCCTCCCTGGTGGTGCAAGGGGTTAAACACCACACTATGAAGCAATCCACAGCCTCTGCAGCATGAGTTGAATCCCCAGTCAGCCAGGGAGCAGCCCACATGGCAAGGCAGACCTCTCCTGACTCGCCCATTGCTTCTCTCAGCAGTGTACTTCATTCAGTGTATCTGCCTGTTCTGTTCCCCATTCTGTCTCTGGTGAATCCTCTCACCCCCTGTATCTCTGGCTTGTACCCTAGCTCTTGTATGCATAAATAAATAAATCTTTAAAAAAATAAAATGTACAATTAAAACAAGGTTCACTATTTTTACTTTAAAAAATGTAACTACCTAAAAATTTAAAGCTACATGTATGGCTTACATTCATGACTCACTGTTTCTCTGGGATGGTGCTAGTGTGAATGTGTAAGGTAGGTAGAAGACATCCATAGAAATTGATCGAGGTATTTAGGAAGAGAGTGCAGAGATGAGAGACAGGCTACCTGAAAGTACCCATTCCCCAAATTTTAAAATTTAGTGTGATTTTATGTGTTAATTTGACTGGAACACGGGATGCCCAGAAATTGTGTTAAACAGTATCTTGGGTGTTTCTGTAAGGGCATTTTTGAATGAAATTAACATTCAGTTCAGTAGACTGAGTAAAGCAGATTGCCCCCTTTAATGTAGTGGGCCACATTCAATCAATTGAAGACCCGAATAGAATAAAAAGGATAACCCTTTACAGGATAAGAGAGTATTTCTCCTGCATGGCTGCCTTTGAACTGGAACATTATTTTTTCTGCCCTCACACTGAAACTAAAACCCTGGGTCTTCTTGGATCTTGAGCCTTCAGGTCTTCAGATTGGAACTACATTGGATCTTCAATCTCCAGTTTATCAACTTATACTCAGATTATGAGACTTGCCAGCCCCTCTAATTAAAAATAATCCAATTATTTTAATAGATATCTTTATAATTGTATGTGCATGTGAGCATGTGTGCGTGTGTGTGTACGCACATACACACAATATGTAGTTTTGTTCTCTCTGAAGAAACTTCATTCATACAATTGGATAGAGAAGTAAGAACCCAAGGAACCAGAGAGGATGAATGGATGGCAAATGCATGGATGTTTAGACAGGGATTTTCCCCTAAAGAAAAAAAAATTTTCTAAAATATATTTGTATGCTGCTGGCAGAGGTGCAGGAGTTGAGCTGGTCATGTAGGTAATAAGGTACATAATGCTATGTGCTGTGGGAGTGGGAGGTTTTGCTAGTTCCATAAGGATAGTGTATCAAGACTTAAATGGGAAAATGGTGGGATCCAGGTGGGAAACTTCTTGGAGTGAGGGGACCTCAAGCCTTACTTGGTGGTAAGATGGGGTATCGGTATTGCCCTTGATACAACAGACTGTTCCTTCCTAGAGAAAACAACCTTAAATGTGCTGATAAGAAAATTGCCTGTTAGCCCCTATTCTTTGTCACTATATTCCAAGAGTTGACTGCCATAGAGTAACATTGACTTAAGAATTCCAAACCAAGTAACTATTAATTCTTTGACAACTGATTTTTTTTGGCCCGAATTATCAGGCCAAAATTTGGCCTGAATTATCAGGCCAACATTCATCTGATGTCTGTACAACCTCATTTCACTTTAAATAATCTTAGCTCTATCCTTTTCTCTTTCAAACTTTATTTACTTTTGTGATAGGCTCAAATGAGATATGAAATACTATAAAATAGGGTGTGGATAGATATTTATTAGAAAATGGCTGAGAATAAACAAAACAAGAAATGTAGAATGTAGGTTTGTAGCAATGTGTTCTCATCTGACAATAAAGGACAAAAAGTCTGGCTCTAGTTTCAGAAAGTAATAATCTGAGAAGTGATCTGATAAATGATTCATTAAAGTTACCTTTTCAGTTCTGGTATGAGAATTCTCTTTCTGGCATGAATCCTAAAACATTATAACAAGTCCTCTAGCCCCTTTGAGCCTTACAGCAATCTCTTTGGGTGACTGCATTATGCAATCTTTACCTTAGGATAACCTTAGGGATGGGTGTAATAAAAGCTCCATAAATCAACACTCTGCACCAGATATCAAATGATAAGACATTCCTGTGGTTAATAAGTCCTAACTGCTCAAATCACAGGACTTGACAAATGAAGGAAATGGGCACAGACTAGAGAGCACCTTGGACTTGGGACTCTGCAGATTGGGGCTAAGTCCCCAACTGTGTGGCTTACCTCTCTTGTTAACTGAGGAACATTGCTCATTTCAGCTTCCTGGTAGGTTAAAGTCAAGTGAAAATAGCCAGATAGGTTCACATTTCGGGTTTCTGTAAAGAGTCCTGGGAAAAATATGTATCTCAGAGAATCTGTGTTCATACTCCAATAAAACAACATTAATTCATACTTTGATATTTTCATAATCTGCTAATACACAATTAAATGCTTTTTATAGCAAGAGTCATAATTTGCATTTGTTGCTCATAACATACAGTGTCTGACGCTCTGAAGAGGAGAGCTGACTATTTTAAGCATGCTTTGTTGCAAAGAGGCTTGAACTGGATTAAATTGGTTCTAGGCTGGAGTAGAGCTGATGACCAGATCCTAGGTCAGATTTCTTGGGTTCTTTGGTCAGCATTAGTCCTGTTTATACTTGATGATTGTGAACCTAGAGACAGAGGCCCTTTGTTTAGGAGAAAATGTACATACAGTTACGAATGGTTACTTAGCAAGTTAATGGGTTTATTGATTTGAGGAAGTAGAAAAACTTTGAACTCCCAATCTTGTTTTGAAAAAAATCTAAAACCTGCAGAAATATCAGAACAATAATATCATAAACATCCAAACACCCTTCAACTAGATTCACCAATTATCGACTAAGACATTGAAAGTCAATTGCAAGATGCTTCAGCCCTATGACTTTAGCATTTCTCTCCCCAAGTGTTCCCAGGACAATCATTACACCTATAAAAACTTATATCAATTCACTACCACCTATTTGCTGTCCATGTTTACACTTCCCCACAGTCCCCAAAGCATCTACAATAATGATTTTTTTCAATCTTGGGTTCAATTGAGGTCACACTTTGCATTTATTTATTTGTATTTTTTGTCTCTCAATCCTTAACTTTGCAAATATCCTATTTAATAATAACCTTTTACCCTGAAGTTTTAGCACCATGACCATTTCATCTTATCTCATTTCATCTGTACTTAATAGCTGGCATTCTCTCATAAAGAAGTCATTCATTGTCTTTCTCGCTCCTCTTGGGTATTTTGGATGAGGTTTTAACCTATTACTGTCATTTTTTTTTTTTTGTATCCAAACTGTCTTAAATTTGGCGGGGTGACCTCCTGCAAGCTACCTCCTATATGTGGTGTGTGTATGTTTGTGGGTGTACTTTAATGATTCTGTTAGCTTTTTATTTAAAGATTTATTTATGTATATAAGAGCTGAGGTTCAGGCCAGAGGTGTGGGGGGTGAGAGTATTCACCAGAGACAGAGTGGGGAACAGAACAGGTAGATCTACTGAAATACACTGCTGAGGGGCGTACCAGGGCACGACAGGAGAGGTCTGCTGCGCCCTGTGGGTCACCTCCCTGGCTGGGGATCAAATTTGCTCTGCAGTAGCTGCTGAACACTGCTTCATAGTGCTGTGTCTCTTTTTTTTTTTTTTTTTTTAATAGAGGCATGTTTTATTTATTTATTTGTTTGTTTGTTTGGTTGGTTGGTTTATACATGCACTGGGCACAGTCAGAAGCGCGGAAGGGTGAGAGAATTCACCAGAGCCAGAGCGGGGAGCAGAGCAGGCAGAAGGACCGAAGTACACTGCTGAGGGGAGCAGTGGGCGGCAGGAGAGGTCTGCGCACCATGTGGGACCCTCCTCCGGTGGCCGGGGAGCAGCCGGGGATCGAACCGGCTCCGCAGAGGCCGCGGGCAACTTCGCAACCCAGCGCTCAACCGCTGCGCCACCGGGGAGGCCCCATAGTGCTGTGTCTTAACCCCTTGCGCCACGAGGTAGGCCCTCCATTAGCTTTTTTGAAGCATTATTTTATTTTTCCAAAGACTTAATTGTTCCAGATCAATTTTAGCTTCACAGCAGAATTGAAAGAAAGGCACAGAGAATCTCATATTCCCTCTATTTCCACGTATATGTAGCCTCTCCTATTATCAATACCCTCTACCAGAAGGTATATTTGTTACAGTGATGACCCTATATTGACACATCATAATCACCCAAAGTCCACAGTTTGCCTTAGAGTTTACTCTTGGTGTTTTACATTCTGTGTATTTGGACAAATGCATTATGGCATAAGTCCATCCTGATAGTATCATACAGAGTATTTTCACTGCCCTAAAAATCCTCAGTGCTGGGCCTCCCTGGTGGCGCAGGGGTTAAAGTCTCAGTGCTATCAAGTGATCCCAGCCAGATAGCTAACCCACAGGCGCAGCAAACCTCTCCTGTCTCATCTGCTGATCCCCTCAGCAGTGTATTTCAGTAGAGCCACCTGCTCTGCTCCCCAGTCTTTCTCTGGTGAATCTTCTCACCCCCCAAACCTCTGGCCTACACCCCAGTTCTTGTATGCATAAGTAAATAAAAATCAATCTTAAAAGAAAATCCTCTCTGCTGTGCCTCTTTATTCCTCCACCCCCTATCACTGATCTTTTTACTGTCCCCACAGTTTTGTCATTTCCAGAGTGTCGCTTAGCTGGGATCACACATTGTATTTCACTTAATAATGTGCATTTAAGTTTCCTCCTTGTCTTTTCATGTCTTGATAGCTCATTTCTTTTAAGTACTAAATAATATTCAGTTGTCTGGATGTATGATAGTTTAATTATCATTATCTACTGAAGGACATCTTGATATTTTCCATGTTTTGGAAATTATAAATAAAACTGCTATACTATTCATGTGCAGGTTTTTGTGTAGACATGTTTTTAACTGATGGGCAAATAAATTTCAAGAAATGTGATAGCTGGAATGTATGTTTAGAGTATGTTTACTATTTTGTAAGCAACTGTCAAACTCTTCTAAAATGCTATATCATTTTGCATTCCCACCAGCAATGTAAGGATCGTTCCACATCATCACCAGCATTGATGTTAGTATTCTGGATTTTCACCAATTTGTATATGTTTTGATTGTGTTTCCCTGAAGACATACAATGTGCAACATCTTTTATATGCTAACCTTTAATCTGTCTATCATCTTTGGTGAAGGGTCTGTTAAGATTTTTGACCGATTTCAAGTTTTGAGAGGGTTTTTTTTTTTTATATTTTGGATGTCTTTATTATATGTGTGCATTTAAATAGAAATATGTATATTGTCTTCTGTGATGATGAAAGTGGATATACATCAGACCTATTGTTAAGATTTAGACAGCTATTATATTGGCTGAAATGAACCAATTGTGACTGCAACTATAGAAGAGAAAACCCAGACATTCCCCCAGATGCAAGAGCAACATAAAGGTTATTGTACTAATGCTCTATGAAAACATTTTTTTTCCTTTTGCTTTTAACTTCATTAAGTACTTCAGAAGCAGAAGGTGATACAAACCTCACTGTAGGGCAATTAGATCAGGACTAAAAAAGAATTTAAATCAATGCTTAGTGGCCCCTCAACAACGCTGTGGTTACCAAAAGCGGTACCTCCTGGGCCTTGCAATTACCACATTATGCAGCTGATGTGTGGATGATGACCGAAAATGAAAAATGATATTTAAACAGTCACTCTTACCTCTTTTATGGGATTTAATATCCATTATGAAGTCTTTGCCTTGCTTTGTCCATAAATAACACTGCACAGATATTTCAAGTTTCAAATTGACCTAGCTCAAACCCTTAGGCAGCTGGAATAGTAATTATAATCCGGGCAGATCACACAGTTCTCTTTAGTTTCCGCTCCCTGTCTGCAACACCCATCACTCAAGATAAGAATTCCGCGGCTCTGCTGTCAGTTCCACTTTCAGACCCAGGGTAGCCAGGCCACCCTGCATCCAGGAAAAGATGGCCTTAGCACCGTTCTCCCTGCCGCCAAAGGGGCGGCAGAATTTCGGGACCAGCATCAATTACCAGGCGTGGGCCCCTCACTCTCCCAGCCACTGGCCCGCACAGACGCGAGCGAGAGGAAGGGACCTGGATGAATGCCCCTCCGCACCCTCCCCTGCACAGCCACACTCCGGCTGGCCGGCATCCCGGCGTGAACAGGGACCTCTCGCCCCTTTAAGCTGTGTGAGCTGGGGTTACTTAGCTTGTGTTTAACCTCATTTCCTCTTCTACTATCTATGGGACACTTAACAGTAAACTCCTCAGAGGAGCACTGTGAATAGGAAAACGTGGGAGAACATCTTAGCTACAACGCTGAGTCTTTCATCAACAGCAGCTAAAGTATTTTTCTGGCTATTGTCCTTGCCATCTTTGCCCTGTATTAGTCACCACCAAGACCCAGTCATGCCCCTCCCCTTCACATTGCTACCAGCTCCCCAGCTTCCAGATCGACCTGGGTGATTCATTTATCCCCAGCACAGCTCTTGGGCAATGCTTTTCCCCTTCAGGGTGACTGCTTCCCAGAATTCTGGAAATCCCCGTTTCCTTTTTTCCCTACCCCCTCCCTCATTACTTTCCTAGCAAGGTCCCACTTACTTTCTTGAGTTCAAACGAAGAGAAAGAGGGACGGACAGCGCAGATTTAGCCCAGCCTCGTCGGCCCACGGCGAGGGTCCACGGCCTCTCGCGCCACTGCCCCCTGGCGGACAAAGCTGAGAACGCCCTGCCCCCGGGGTTCCGGGGCTCCCACTTCTGCTGGGTTGCAAACCGCGGTCCCCGCCCCAGCCCGCCCGCCCGCAGGCGTGCCCGCCGCGCTCCCTCCCTCCGGTTCCTGCCCTGCCACATCTTCGTCTGACTTCCACACGCTGGGGCCATGTCGCGACTCAGCTGGGGATACGACGAACACAACGGTGAGTGTCTTCTGATTGCACGGGATGGGGGTACTTTGGGCAGTGGGCCATTGAGGGGGACGGTCCGATGCCCTGGAGCCAGCCGACCGCACACTGCTGATCTCATACTTGGCGAGAAAGTTTTTCGGTTCCTCTTTGAATTGAGCTGTGCTCCCCAAGCCTAAGCAGGAAGCAAAGGGAAGGCTGAGCCTAGTGTAGGTTGAGAAAGTGTCTTTTGGAGAGTATTCATGGTGCGGGTGACAGTGGGGGCGAGTGACGGTGAGTTAGCCCTATTAAGATTCCCTGGCTCCCTCCCCCAAGTCTTCTTATTTGCCCGTTCATTTTCATTTGGAAAGCTGAGAACTTTCTCTAATATCAACTACTTATCAATTAAAGGCATGGAGCTCAGAAGTCTGATGACATACTTTAATGGATTGAGGACAAGTTTCCTTTCAGTCTTTTAAGCTCATTATTCACTTAGGGGAAACAAATCATGGAAAACCCTTGAAAATATATTTAAAAATCTTAATAACTGAATTGCACGAAAGATTTAATTTCTTCTTGGCAACCAAAATACTGCACATTTCTTAATAACTGTACTATAAAAATTCCCCCAGCAGTTTACAGTTGATTACTACTGTTGGCTTAGGTTCTTTTTGGGAAATGAAGTTTACTTTGGGTTACCTCTAACTCTCCACTCTTTCTCCCTCTCTTTTCACCCTCCCTTGCAGAAATTGAGGATTAGCAAAGGATTGTTGAGATTTTAACATATTGACAAAAAATTTATCTATTGATGGGGTGACAATAATTGCAAGACGCATACTTTTTTCTCATATATCCTAAATTATCAAAGGTAAATGGCTTTTCTTGTTTTTTATATATAATAAAATAATAATCGTTATTTGCAATATTGCAAAGTGTCACCAAGAAAGTCAAGAAAGAAAATGAATCACTGTCAAAATTAGATCTGAGAATAATAATAGTAACAACAATAGTCATAACACTGGATAATGCATGCACATTATTGGATTAGCATGCATATTATTGAACAGTATTGGATAGTTTCATTTTATAGGTAGCCTGTTTTCACCAAGAAAAAAAAGTTTTCATTCTAATAGTAGCATTTTTGAAATTCTAATTAACTTGCCAGTTGAAAAATGGCAGCAGGTGAAGTTTATAATTTTAGTAATGAAAGGTATAATTTAGGTGAACTGAGACCTAAATTTTTGACTGACACTTGTATTTATAATCTTACATTTTGCTAATTTTCAATTTATGTTTGTTTATTTAATAGCTACTGGGTGCCAACAGTGCCTTCATTATGGTTAGGAAGAAGAGTCTTTTCCGTGAATGAGTATTGACTACTCTTTAATATGTTAGAAAATATTGGTTCTGATGAAGCTAATCTGCAGAAACTTAAAAAAAAATTCATCTTAGAAAAGATATTAGCAAAGAGTGATTTTGTCTTTCTTCTGGGAATTGTAGGGCAGTCTCTTTTTTTAGATACCATAACTTTCTGAGGGCCACACCTTTAAGTAGATCAACTTGGGCAAATTACTACTGGAAATGTGTGGTATCTTGACTGGACAAGTTTTATTGTTCTTTTCTCTTAAACATTGACACAAGTAGTGAATGAGCAGATAAAAGAAAACTAAAGTTGGGAATAGTAGAAATGATAAAATGGAACATCAAGAGGTGAAGCATTGGAAGGATGGCTTCATAATCCATGTATAACTCTTCTGCTGCCCTTTTATAATTCTATTATAAAGTTTAGTTTTTATAGTTTAGTTCTTATAGTCTAGTTTTTATAGCTTAGGGCATGCGACAGTTGTTGAAAATTGTATATCACTATGGATATTCACAAGTTCGTGAATCACTCAAGAACCATCATATATTTCTATTTGAGAAATACGTTTATATTGATTTAAAGTTGAACGTGTTGGGAAGTTTAAGAAAGATAGGCCTCTGAGAGGCAAGAAATGAACCTACCGTAGTGGTTAATAGATAATATTGAGCATTTGATATGAAGTGGTGATATTTTATATTATGTAGGCTTATGTCTGCTTACACAAATAGTTCTGCTTTTAAAAGTGAAAAAAAGGATTAGGAAGAGAAAGAAACTCTTGATTGTAAAGAAGTCAACAATATGTTGTGACATATGCATTGCGTATTTGAAGTCTAGTTCTCATTAGGTTAAATCTTACTTGGTGGCAGTGAAATAGAAAAGTTTTTCACCTAAAAAATTAGATTATATGCAAAAAGTACTAGAAAGGTAAATGAAACTACTTAATAAAAAGGAAATGTAATCCCTTTTTCTGTAATTAGTTTTAAGCAAGAACTTCTGATATTTAAGTTGTTTTAAGTCCAAAATAACAAGCTCATGAGAGAACTAGTTTTAATTCAACTTGTGATCATGTGTTAATGCTATGGCTATTTGATTTGTTGTCACATGATGCAAATGGGAAAGAATTTATGCTTTCTCTGTTGCAAAAATGAAGTATAATAGATGCTGCTGATAATATAGTTGTCTTTCTTGAACTTTCTTTCAAAATTTTATCTTTTAAAGAGATATGTTAATAACAAATGTTTAGTCAATTGTCAGACTGTGTCATTTTAATAAGTACTTGAGTTTTAGAGAAATCTAGTTAGTTGGTTAGTGAAGTAGGGTGAAACTTAACCATTGACCCCACGCTCTACTTACCTTGTGGTAGCTGTTTAAATTGCAGGCATAGTAGAGGTAATAAGAGCCTCTAACCTATAAAGTGACTCACATTTTTAGAATGTCTTGGCACTTAATTGAAGCTACAACCTTGATGTTGATTTTGAGAGTGCAAACTTGAATAGAGTCACCCAAAGAAATGTAGTAATGAATTACCAGTTTATTGGTTCACATCAATTATCAAACATGTATCCTGTTTGGGAACTTGATGCAATTTTGACTTTTCCAATAGATGATCAGGATGACAATTATTCCTTGTGTAGGAATTCAAATGTAGCATTGGCACAATAAGTAAAGAAGGACCTACCAAACTGTAGGAAGAGATTAATTGCCACCTGTTCCACTGCAGATAATCAACAACATTACATTTTCTGACAAGGGATAGCCATTGTATTTGGATTATCCTATGTGAAAAACGCGTATACTTCCTCAGTATGACACTGGCACCTCACAGGTAACTCAGTTGAATCCTGGTGATAGGTGATGATAACAGTTAGTAATGGAAGAAAGTAGGGACGCATCTTTAAGAACCACATCCTTTCTTTGCTACACAGTTGACTCTTCCAGTCTATAAACTTGTTGACCGCTGACCTACCACAGCTCATTCTTGGAGCTGAGACTGAATCTCACTGTTTTCAATGATGAATTGTACTGTTGTTTTTTGTTTGGTGAAAGGGTATCTTTGCAAAGTAGTTTATAGAACTTACAGGCTCTTTTGTCTGCAAGGTTTAGTTTAATTCTGAAAGTGAATTTAAAACAAACCAGTACGTTTCCATACCGATGGTGGAAAACAACTAATCTTAAAAAAGCAAAACAGCAATTACATACTAAAGTCCTGCAGATGAAGATTTTATTTTATTAGTTTTTGGTGTTTTCTTCAATATCAAGTCCAGTGCATTGCACGCAATAAATATTTATTGGATGAAATAGCTTATTTATTCCTTTTCTTTTGTCCTATATATTTAAGGTCCCATTCATTGGAATGAATTTTTCCCTATTGCTGATGGGGATCAGCAATCTCCAATTGAGATTAAAACCAAAGAAGTGAAATATGACTCTTCCCTTCGACCTCTTAGTATCAAGTATGATGCAAGCTCAGCTAAAATCATCAGTAACAGTGGCCATTCCTTCAACGTTGACTTTGATGACACAGAGGACAAATCAGGTTGGCTTTTATTTTTGGTGGGGAGTGAAGGGCTTGGATGACTGGACTATACTTTCTTATTTTTCATACTTGAAACACGTACGCACTGTATATTCTTTGTTAGCTCTTTGTTAAATAAAAGTTTTATTCAGTAAATTCACTGGATAGTATCTTTCACAACATGAATAAACAATTGGCCAACAAAATAAAACTGTAGTTTACTTGTTAATTTGTAAGCTAAGTGAAGAACAAAAATAGCGTTTCCTTAAAATGAACATTTAATTCTCCTTCAAGCTTCCCAAGGAATAGAAGGTATCAAGTTTAAAAGTAAGATGAGAGAGAAGATTGTATAGAATCATATTTTGGAACATTGTTTATGGCATCTGACAAATTATTTTTACTTTTAGTCTAATAGGATGATGTTCTATTTGCTCTATTAAAGAAAAATATAGCTAAATTTTTAAAATCCTTAATTGGAAGAAAGTTTTTACTTATTCATTAAGCTCAGATTTAGTTTAGTAATAATATTCTGTATTTATGTGATGCTATTTTGTGAGTAAAAATTATAAGCCCATACAATTGCTTCCTCATATTTGTCAAATGCATTTTCATCAGAGCAGAACTGCATAAAAATGATTAATACATGGTATTTTCAAATTTTACGTTACATATATATGTGCATATATTTATTTATAGGCATTTATATATTATTTATAAATATAAATATTTATTTATATGCATATTCAGTTGTCTTTCCTTCAAGCCTGATGGTGTGACTCTCTGTTAATAGGTATGGTTGATGTAATGGGTACATTGTAAACGTTGTCCAAGGTGTCTGAGTACAAAGTTTATAACACCCATAATTGTAGTTTGATTCTGTTTGTAATTATAGTTTGATTCTATTTTTTTAAAAGATTTATTTATTTATTTATTTATACAAGCATTGGGTACATTCAGAAGTGCAGGAGGGTGAGAGAATTCACCAGAGCCAGAGAGGGGAACAGAACAGGCAGACTGACAAAGAAATACACTGCTGAGGGGAGCAGCAGGTGGAAGGAGAGTTCTGTCGCGCCATGTGGGACCCTCGCTGGTGGCCAGGGATCGTACTGGTGCTGCAGAGGCTGCGGGCAGCTTTGCAGCCCAGTGCTCAACCGCTGCACCACCAGGGGAGGCCCTATAGTTTGATTCTTAAACATACAAAACCTGAGGTTACCTACTCCTAGCTTTATTTATTTATTTATTAAAGATTTATTTATTTATGCATAGAAGAGCTGGGGTATAGGCCAGAGATGCGGGAGGTGGGATCCACCAGATGCGGGATCCACCAAAGACAGAGTGGGGAGCAGAACAGGCAGATCTACTGAAATACACTGCTGAGGGGAGCAGCGGGCGAGACAGGAGAGATCTGCCTTGCGCCATGTGGGTTTCTTCCTGGCTGGCCGGGGATCGAACTCATGGTGCAGAGGCTGTGGATTGCTTCATAGTGTGGTGCTTAACCCTTTGCACCACCAGGGAGGCCATACTCCCAGTTTTGGACTAAGAAATAATTATTTTGTGCATCACCTAAAACTTTACACTTTGTAAATGTCACCAACATTTTTTTTTTTTCATGTTAAATGTCACCAACTTTAGTCATAAATAATTGTTCCTCTAATTTGCCCAGTAGTGATCCAGGTCTTCCTTTTCTCCCCACCCCTACTCCTCCCTCCTTCCAGCATCTTCTCTCCCTCTCTTCCTCTCTTTCTGTCTTCTCGTTTTTTTCCTCTGCCTCCTGTCAATCAGTGGAAACATTTTGTTCCTGTTTCCAGACTTGACACTTTCTGTGATGGGTGGTGTGTGCCTTGCACATAAGTGAAGGTCTTTCTTTCCTGTCTAGATCACAATGAAGTTATCAGGGTTAATTGAAAATGAAAATTGAAAATGTCCACAAAGTACTTTGTATCCCTCTGAGACAGAAACTACCTAAATATGGGTCATGATCCTCATTCTTTTTCCTCAAGGAAAATGAACAGACTGTCTAATGGTGATTTTGGGGGAAAAGTCAGTTAAAAAGAAGAAACCACTACAGTTAAACAAAATGTTGTTGATGATTTTTCTTTTTCTTTGGTTCATAAAAAAAAAAGATAATTTCTGAAATAACAAACCACTTTTACTTGAATAAAATAGTATTCATTTGTAAAGAAGTTATTTTTGACCAAAACAAATTCTGAATTTCACCAGTCAATGAACCACAAGCATAAACCCTTCCCTGTGGTCCTAAGAGTGCTTTAGCTGTGCAGCTGCATCCCTGCATAATGGGGAGTCATGCTTCATAATTTTAAAAATCCTTTCAAATGGGGGCAGGTGGATGTGAAATTCTTCAGAAAGAACCCCATTGGTCATAGAAGAGGGAAAAAGTAATCTGATAAAGACAGTGTGTTCTTACCCCAACTACTGTATACAGATAATATCTCACCCTCTGAGAATCTCACCCTACTAGTCCTGCTGTCCACCACCTCATCTACCCCTTCCCCAGCCTCCTAAGCTTGTCAGATCACAGGACATCCCCCACTGTTGTAACTGCCAATTGAGTCTCTTTCCACTCAGTTGATGGCTGTCTCTGGGCAACAGCTTTATTTTAATGCCTAGCATGTTGCCTGGCACATAGTAGGTACTCAATAAATGTATGATTAAGTTAAAAACATTTTTCAGTAGCTGGTTGGGGGCCATGGAAAATACCTTGAGATAGCATTACAGTATAGAATGCAGTAGTATATATGGTTGAAGAGTCAATAAAATGACAAATCCCAGAAATCAATTAATACTTATTGTTTGACACTGAAATAGTTCAAACAATGGTAGGTTATTTGTTGTTTGAACATATAATTTTTAAAGGTTATTGTACACTAATTATTAATCTACAGGGGGTAATGAGATAGCCCCTGGCATATAGCAATCATTCAATTACTATTAATATCTATTAGTAGCAGTAATAGTAAAAATAATAATAATGATCATAATAATGATAATGTGTGTTCTTTCTGTGGATGAAATAAGTTGTGCTGAAATTTTGGACAGATTGAAAAAGGAAGGAAACTGATTTCTTGGAGGCCTCCCTGATGGCACAAGGGGTTAAGACGCAACCTATGAAGCTATCCGCAGTCACTGCAGCAGAGCTCAATCCCTGGCCAGGGAGCTGCCCACACGGTGCAGCAGACCTCTCCTGACCTGCCCTCTGCTTCCCTCAGTAGTGTATTTCAGTCAATCTGCCTGTTCTGTTCCCCACTCTGTCTCTAGTGAATCCTCTCACTACCTGCATCTCTGGCCTGTACCCCAGTTCTTGTATGCATAAATAAATAAATAAATAAATAAATAAATAAATAAATAAATCTTTTTTTTTTTTTTTAAAGAGACCTCCTAGAAATAACAGTGACTTGATGAATTCAGTCGTTATTCTTTAATTTTCATGTGGAGAAACTGTCAGTTTCTTAGTTACAACATAACTATCTAGCTCTAGCTATATAGTTTTAGATAACTACCTGAAGTCAACCAAATATACAAGATCCTTAATTATACATAAACAACAACAGAAAAAGATGCTGGTAGAGGCAGATACCTCATTATATGTTTTCTGCCAAGAGACAAAATAGCTAGGGAGTTGAATTGGTAATCTGAACTCTTTATATCATAAGCTCTATTGTAATTATGTTTCCCTCAATAGACTATAAATTCCTTGAGGAAAGAGATGGCCTTGTTCTTCACTGTATATTTAGCAATGAATGCAGTGGCTGGTCCATAGTAAGCTTTTAAGAAGTGCTGAATTTTTTTTAAATTTTTTTATAGATTTTTTACATCATTTTTCATTTTTGCACAATGTATGCATTTTCATTTTGGTTATAGTCCCCACACAATTCCCACCCCCCTTATTTTGATCATACTCCCTCCTCGCCCACCTGTAGTGTGTCTCTGGTTTATAGTTGCTTGTTGATTTTGATTTTTACTTTATTATAATTAGTCTTTTTCCTGGTCCCTTATTTAGGTTTTCTAAATTCCTGCTATGAGTGAGACCATCTGGTATTTTTCTTTTTCTTTCTGGCTTATTTTGCTGAGCATGATCCCTTATAGCTCCATCCATGTTGCTGCAAATTGCTTAAGTTTATCTTTTTTTGATTGCTGAGTAATAGTCCATTGTGTATATATACCACATCTTCTTGATCCAGTCATCTATTTTTGGGCATTAGGGTTCTTTCCATAGCTTAAAAAAAAGAAAGAAGAAAAGTCTCAAATGTAAGAAACTAGAATAGGAAGAGAAAGATAAACCAAAGCAAGTAAAAGGAATACAATAATAGATATAAATGCAGATATCAATAAAATTGAAAGTAAAAACAATAGAGAAAATTAATGAAAGTAAAAACTGGCTTTTGAAAAGGTCAATAAAATAATTTCCTACCAAGTTTGATAAAGAAAAAATAAAAAGGCACAAAAAAAGAAAGTGTTGAATCAATGAGTTGACCAGAGAGTTACGTGGTGTGTAGATGCTAATGGCAGAAGAAGCCACACTTAATGAAGGTTTTCCTGACTTTATAAAGAATTCAGATCCCTGTGACTGTGAACATCCATGTCTGCATTCTTCCTTCTCTCATGGTGTAATCCGGGGTACAGGCCAGAAGTGCGGGAGGATGAGAGGATTCACCAGAGACAGTGGGGAGCAGAACAGGCAGATGGACCCAAAACACTGCTGAGGGGAGCAGCGGGCGAGACAGAGAGGTCTGCCGCACCATGTGGGTATCTCTCTGGCCAGCCGGGAATCGAACCTGCACTGCAGAGGCTGTGGACAGCTTTACAGTGCTGCGCAACCCGATGCGCCAATGGGGAGGCCCTAGGCTGTGACTTTAACTAGGTTCACTGGTCCTAAAAATATTCTCTTTAGGGATTTCCAGGTCACTTCAGTAGTAGCCTTACAAACTGAAGTGTGCTTCTTCATGTGAGTTCTCTTTCTTGTTTTATGTTAATAATATTTTTTGATCCAGGCACTGTCATAGGCACTGGGGATGTAGGAGAACAAGACAGTTTCTATCTTAAAAGGAGTTTGTACCTTAATGGGGTAGTGAAAGCGTGAGCAAACAAATGTGTTGATTTTTAAATTAACTTTTTTTTTTCTGATTTGTTGCCAGCCTTGCTTATCACTCAAGCCAGCTGATCATGTTGTAGTTTCAGAAAATGAGTAAGTTTAGCAACTTACTACAATTTAAAAGAGTCAAATTCAGTAGTGTCACACATTCAGTGTTTTACATTGTTGTTGATCTCCATAGCATATAGCAAAGTGACAAAAACTCTTTTACTAAGATATTAAAATTTCCCTAAACTTTTATGGCATTTAACTCTGTAGACTTCTTAGATGAGAGTATTGATTGAAAAAGATTTAAAAAAAATCTAAATGAGGGGGAAAATGCTCTATATATGTATGCCAAGTATGCTTTCAGAGAAATGATTACTCTTTTTTCAAACATAAGATGGAGACTATAATACTTATTTACTCATCGTAGTTGGAAAGTAAGATGGAGAATTCGATACATGAAAACACTAAATCATCCTCATTAAAAATAATTTTGTTGCCATTATTCGCTTTGTATCACAGGTTAGCTGTTTTTTTTAAAGATTTATTTATTATGCATACAAGAACGGGGGTACAGGCCAGAGGTGCAGGGGGTGAGAGGATTCAACAGAGACAGAGTGGGGAACAGAACAGGCAGATTGAATGAAATACACTGCTGAAGGGAGCAGCGGGTGAGTCAGGAGAGGTCTGCTGCACCATGTGGGTTGCTTCCTGGCTGGCTGGGAATTAAACTCGTGCTGCAGAGGCTGCAGATTGCTTCATAGTGCTGTGCTTACCCCCTTGTGCCACTAGGGAGGCCCAGGTTAGCTGTTTTATAATAGACTGTCTTAAATTCAGTGTCAGAGATAACTTAATTTTGATATTTTTGACTCACATCCCTCCCTGCCCCGCTGCCCCCTGCACTGTTTTCTCAGAAGAACACTACTTGAAAGAATGTCCTTTACAATTAGATATTCACTGATCATAGTCTTGTTTTAAATATTTTAGTTGAAACACTCAGATGAGGAATCCAAATATGTAAAGGTTAATGCAGCCTTCTTGCTTAACTAAGCAGAGTTGTGCTAATCTGCCTTTAAACCCTGGATTCAGAGCAGCCTTTCCAGAGATCAACCATTATTCCTGGATGTTTCCCTACCAATGTGTGGGTTTTGGTATTACTCTGTCTAGAGCCAGCTTGTTTGCATCTTCTTCCAAAATTAAGCTCTCTAATATGCTTTTTACTGTGAAGGAATGACTTTATGGTTCAGCTCAAGTCTTACTCTACAACAGTAAGAGTAAAGGAGAATAAAATTGTTGATTTCTTTTCATCTGGAATTCCATTGCGTGCAAATGGAGCCATTGCGTCAGATGGAGTCATTGAGAGGAATGTGTCTTTTAAATTAATCTGAGTCATTTTTCAAACTATCCAAAGAAACATCAAATATTCATTCATTCATCAAATATTCACTGTGCATGTCCTCTCTAATAGTTCCCAGCTAGGTGATGGGTATGTCAGGGACCCAGCTAGAACCTTTGCCCTCATGAACATTGTCTAATGGGAGAAGAAACAGCAAAATTATTCTGTTTAACAGAGTAATGGAAGAATGAGTTCTAGAATCTGATATAAGTGGTTCTCTTTTCTCTTTTATTTTTTTTAGAGGGCTTTGCAAACAACTATCTTTATTTATTGTAAAGAAATCTGGATCCAGATGAATCTGAAGGAGGCCCCAACCATTCAACCTTCCAAAAAATTTCCATTATATATGCTCAATTTTTTTCCCTTAGCAGTTTTGAGTATTGTACTAGGGTCATGCAATCCAATACCTTAATTAAAATAGACAGAACAACAAATACAAACATAGACAAGAAAAATGAAGCCTGTAGAGGTTTAAGTGAGTTTTGAAAGATCATATAATTTATTTAGTAGCTGAACTGGGACAATTCCCAGGTCTTCTGATCCCAGCCACTACACCACCTCTTAATTGTTGGTATTCAATTTCAGCTGAGTCCAACTGCATAAGGGAGAAATCAGTTCAATTGGGTTGGTCAATATAGATTATAATCTGGATCATTCCTTCCCTACAGTAAAGCTCAAAGAGAAATGTACCTCAGGCAGATATATTATCTTTTCCCTTTTTTCCTTGCTGTTTGTAGAAAACTACCTGTGATACCTCTGAACATCTATTCCTTATGTTAAGTAGGTCTTCTTGACATTTTGAGAGAGATATGTACATACAGTCTCTGAAGAGGAGAATATCAAATAAAACTCTGTTAAGGCTGTATGCACTAGTATAACACTTAAATTGGATGTTGAGGGGAGTTTAGGAATCTGTATGGTGTCTTCAACATCCAATGCTTTCTTATCCTCCCATATCCTTGAAGCCCGCCCAATCAAGATTAATTGGAAGGAGACAGTTTAAGAATATGTTTTCTACTATTAAAAGAAATAGAAGAAGACACAAAGAAATGGAAAGACATCCCCTGCTCATGGATTGGAAGAATAAACATTATTAAAATGGCCATCCTACCAAAAGCAAAATACAGATTCAATGCTATTCCAATCAAAATTTCAATGTCATTCTTCAAATAAATAGAACAATTATTGATGAAATTCATATGGAATCACCAAAAACCCCGAATAGCCAAAGCTCTCCTGAAAAAAAAAAGAAGGGAATGGAGGCATCACACTCCCAGACTTCAAACTATACTATAAAGCCATAATCATCAAAACTGCATGGTATTGGAACAAGAACAGGCATACAGACCAATGGAATCCAGAAATAAACCCACAGATTTATGGTCAACTAATCTTTGACAACGGAGCAAAGAATATGCATTGGAGCTAAGAAAGTTTGTTCAATAATTGGTGCTGGGAAAACTGGGTTGCTACATGCAAAAGAATGAAGCTTGACTACTACCTAACACCATACACATAAACCAACTCAAAATGGTTAAAGAACTAGACATAAGACCTGAAACCATAAAATACATAGAAGGAAATATAGGCAAAACATTACATGATATGCACATCAAAGACATCTTTACAGACACATCACCCAAAGCAGTAATAGTGAAGGCAAAGATAAACAGCTGGGACTACATCAAATTAAAGAGCTTCCGCACAGCAAAAGAGACAATAACAAAAACAAAGAGAAACCCCACTGACTGGGAGAACATTTTTGCACACAACACTAATGATAAAGGACTGATCACAAAAATCTACAAAGAGCTGATGAGACTCAACAACAACAAAGAAAATAATCCAGTCCAAAAATGGGCAGAAGAGCTAAAAAGAAACTTCTCTGAAGAGGAAATGCAAATGGCCAACAGGCATATGAAAAAATGTTCAACATCACTTGTAATCAGGGAAATGCAAATCAAAACTACCATGAGATATCATCTTATACCAGTGAGAATGGCATGTATTAAAAAAAACTAGCAACAACAAATGTTGGCGAGGATGTGGAGAAAAAGGAACTTCCCTGCCCTGTTGGTGGGAGTGCAAACTGGTTCAACCACTATGGAGAGCTGTGTGGAGATTTCTGGACCTACTAAACATGGAGCTTCCACATGATCCAGCAATTCCACTCCTAGGTATTTACCCAAAGGACACAGAAACATCAATTCCAAAGAGCACCTGCACCCCTATGTTTATAGGAGCACTGTTTACAATAGCTAAGCTTTGGAAACAACCCAAATGCCCAAAAAATTCCACATAGAATATGGGCAGATTGACTCCATAGGGAGATGTTGTGGGTTATGGAAGCGTGCATAAGTATTTTTTCTTGCTAATATTTACGAATGTATTGGTATTTAGTTCTGCGTGGAGGTCCCCTGACCGGAAGCTACAGGTTAAGACAGTTTCACCTGCACTGGGGGTCTGCGGATGATCACGGCTCTGAGCACGTGGTGGACGGAGTGAGATATGCTGCTGAGGTAAGTCATGAGACTCATGACTCAGTGTTTTCCTATGCAGTGGGGTTTCAGGAGCCCAGAGGACAGCTCCTTTATCCCTGACTAGATTCTGATCCAATTAAGTACCTCATGGTTACAATTACTTTATTCCATCAATGGGAAATTTTATCTATAGGAGAACTACGAATAGTCCTCAGCCTTAATGCAACTCTGAGAGTTTAGGGTTATTGGGCCCACTTTAGAAATAAGTAAATTGGAGACTTGCAAAGATTAAGGCCAGCTAGGAAGCAGTTGAGATGAGTTTAAGTTCACATCTGTCCGATATCAAATTGCAATCTCTTTCTACAACTTCTGTTGTATTTACTGAAATGCCTGTGAGGGGAGAAAGAAACATATATTTGGTCCAGCTACAAATATATACTAATATAATGTAAAGTCCAAAATATAGAAATGCTAGCAAATGGTAAAGATCCTTTTAGGGAAAAAATAAAGACACAGACTCTTCTAAGTGCTATAGTTCTTTGCTAAAGCATAGCACAATAAAACATTTATTGATTTGTTTCTTTTTCATTGGAAAGTTACTCCTTTTCTTTGTAATTATATTCATTAGGAATATGCTACTACTTCTAATGCTCTAATTAAATGACAAAGTATAAAATAGGTTTAATATGATTAAATATTGCTCACATCTAACTTAACTATGAGATGAAAGTGAATTGTGTGATGCAACCAAAACTATTTAAGTGAAAATAAGTTGGCTTGTGAGTCCTTGAGGCAAGAAAGAGCGATGTTATCAGGTAACCACAGTTCCCCTTTTTTTTTGAGTTTTAAATCAAGTACAAATAAAAGTGATATCGATTCCCTAAAGATATTGCCTATTTAAGCAAGATGTGTTGGAGGACTTTTTTAAAAAGGAATTTTCTTGCTCTAGTTTCTCATAATACTCCAAATGGTTGTTTTTTAACTAGCAGGATATATAGATTCACATCTGTTTAGTTACAATTCAATTTCTAGTTGCCTATGATTGTGACTGAAGAAGTCATTTCACTACTGTCTCTTTGTTGTTATCTGTTGCCAAATGAACTGATGGACTGGCATAGAGCCATTTAAAACAACTTTAGCATTCTTTTCAGCCCCTCCCTGACAGTGGAATTTCATCTGTCTTATGTGAGCCAAATAAATTTTGTTTCATCATCTTCAGGTTTTGTTCCTCCCCCATCTCTCTCACACCAGTTAGAACATGGCACCATGGAGTCCACTGTTATGTGTTCTACCTAGATATCACCTAGTCCTCCTTCATTGTTGTGGCCAATCCAGTGCACTAATTTAAAGTTTTTAATTTCACTGTTTACAGCTTTTTTTTAGTCCACAAATCTCCCTTATTTGTTGCCTTTGAGATATGAAGTCATATGTAAAGGATGAAATAAAAACGTGTATTTGAACATGTTAAATTTTCTCTTACAGTCAACTAGAAAGGTGATTGGGGCGGGATCCTTCATAAGTGTTTCCTCTCTGATGTGACAAAAGAATTCATTTGAAGGCGATCTTAGCTAAAGTCAACCCCTCACATAGGGCTCTTAGACAACATGGCCTACTCATGATCTTGGCCACATTGTTTGAGTGTGTTATATTGCCCCTTGACTACTGTCTCAGTTTGTTCTTCTCACCAGGAATAAAGATTCTCCAAGAGTGGGTTTCTGCCTTATTATTATCCATGATCTTTTGCAATTGTTTGTATTTTGGCGCTGCTGCCAAAACACCTCTGCAATGGTAGAACTAACACCTTTGGATTTTGCAGAAAGCCATTTGCATGGGAGTAGATCTGTGAAGTAGGTGAAGCCTGTCTTCTAGAATTCCAGATCCCTCCTGCTCCTTCTCACTCCCTTCCTTTCCTTTCTCCCCTCATTAGCACCAGCTGCTTTTTATTTTTACCTCAGACTCTAGGATTCATAGACCCTGAATCCTCTATTTTCTCATTAAAACTTGGTCTTAGGAAAGGATCTGAACATATTCATAGAAGGTAGCTTGAGTACTCCTTAACATAGTTATTCTTTTTTTTAAAGATTTATTTATCTATTTATACAAGAAGTGGGGTACAGGCCAAATGCGTGGGAGGATGAGAGGATTCACCAGAGACAGAGTGGGGAACAAAACAGGCAGACTGACAAAATACACTGCTGAGGGGAGCAGTGGGCGAGACAGGAGAGGTCCACCGTGCCATGTGGGACCCTCGCCGGCCGGGATCGAACTGGCACTGCAGAGGCTGCGGACAGCTTCATAGCACTGCACTCAATCGCTTGCACCACCAGGGGAGGCCCAACATAGTTATTCTTAAGGAGACTTTATGCATTAAAATATCTTAAACTAAGTGATAAACACTTGATTTGACAGTTTCAGGAACATCTGGCATTGTCCTTAGCAGTAAAATTGTCCCTGAAAATCTATTTCAAAGAAACTTGACTTCTGTTCATCCAGTGGACTCCGTTAGTTTAAGTTTGTTCAGTGGTCTCTGCCAGTTGGGATCTGACCTTAAGGCCATTTGATTGCAATCCCACTCATGGAAGAGTTGGGGAAGTCACTAGTCACTGGGGAGCAATGGTTGCACATAGTTAGAGCTAGAGTGGCCCAGTAGGATGCGCCAGGACATTCTAAATGGTGACATAGACCTTACTATAGGACACGACAGACTAGCTAAGTGACCACAGTCCTTCACTTAGGCTTTAGTTTTTGGACAAAAGTAAAAAGAATCTGCCCATCTGCCCAAGATTCTTGTGAAGAGCACATTATCCATATAAATACACAGTACCAGACCATGTGTATAAATGTTTTATCTGCACATATGTTTTTAAATATGTTTAAAAAAAAAACAAAAAGATTGTTGCTTACCTGTCTTGCAGCTCCATGTTGTTCACTGGAATTCAGACAAATACCCTGGTTTTGTTGAAGCAGCTCATGAGCCAGATGGACTAGCTGTCTTGGGAGTATTTTTACAGGTGAGAATTCACTGATTTCATTTTAAATAATTAATCATTTATGTCAGATAAAGAGATTCAGTCATGGAGTAGTCAGTCGACTATTTTTTAGTAGTAAACTAGTTCTTAGTTTAATGCTTTCCTTTTGAAATGAGTAACAAACTTTCATGTATAAGTTTATGGTTCATTTGAAGGCCCAGAACTAGCCCTTGCAGCATTGTCTTATGATGCCTCTTATTGTCCATTATGTGAATAGTAACACAACAATTACAGCAGAAGTAGCACCTGAGATCATAAGAAGAATATCTTTATTCTGGACTTTTCCTGATTGCACAATATTAAATGATACAGGGAAGGGTGTTGTTCAAGTTCCTGATTCTTGAAGCACTAGTCTGACCACCATGGTTTGTTATCACAAACCCACTGACCAATTATTGAAAACTTTGGTTGTATTTTCCTTTGTCTCATTTTCACATGTGATCAGACAAGCAATACCACATGTGGTGGGTTGAGTCACTCAACTCTCACTGTAAGTACATTTTTGTAAGGTGTGCACATTTGCTATGCCACCAACTCTGTGTGATTTTGCAGCTTGTTGGAGCTGGGACGGAGGGGAAGGTGGGGCAGAGTGGAGATCGGTGTGGATTCTGTTCCTTTAGCCTCCATGTCTGATAGTGGCAGTAAAATCCAATGGGACAAGAAATTATACTTTAATATGAAGGATTTAAGCTCTTAGGTAATATATATATATTCTGGTGAATTCTCCTCTTGATTTGGGGCCTCAAATAATTTAGGCTGAAAGTGGGAGATGTTTCCACAAATGTTTTGATGTTGCAAAAGTCAGTTTGGATATAGGGTCTGAAAGTCCCATCTGGATTATTATGTAAGAGTTTGCTAAGCAAGGTTTCGCTCAAGTACCTTATAGATTCATAAAGCTAAAGAAATATGAAGCTGTTACTATTAGTTCAACCAAGGAGTCCTGTAACATTATCTCCTTTAGATTTTCCTGGCATGATAAGATCAGTAGGTAAAAGAGAGCTTTAATATAGAACAATCAGTATTTGTTGTGGGCTGACTTAGTTTTTGTTTTTTTGTTTTTTAAAAACTTAAACAGTGAGTAAAATGTACTGATTTGAACCTGATTTGCTACAGTAACCATTTCTTTTGAAATTTCACATTTTCAGATTGGTGAGCATAATTCTCAATTGCAAAAGATTACTGACATTTTGGATTCCATTAAAGAAAAGGTGAAAATAATTACTATTTGTTAATAACTAATAAATTCCTTGTTTTCTCCCAAATTCTCTTACGTTCTTTTAAGATCTTCTCTTATCTTCTTAGAGACACATTGCTCTCTCCTTTGAAGGTTTGGAACATATTTGACCAGTAGAACACAAGTAATTATTATTTCTAATCTTTCAGAAATGATGAAGGAGTCTTAATTGTCTAGAATAATCACTAATAAATCTTTTTATGCATAATTAGTATTTGATGCTGGAGTTTTGCAGAATAAGCCTTTACCTGCAATACATTTAAAAGATTACTTGTATTAAAATAAATCTCATGCTTCTTAAATCTACATGATGTGTTCCTAACCTAAAAATTTTAGAGTAAGGCAGATACTTTGTTTCTTAGATACCGAAGGCAAACACTAAATAATTCTGTGAATTAAAGAATTCCAATATTTCATTGGATGGTATTTTTTTTGGGGGGTGGGTATAAAGTTATCCTATTATAATTTCTGTGAATTCTTTTTTCTCTTCCAGGGTAAACAAACCCGATTCACAAATTTTGATCCAATATCTCTGCTTCCCTCATCCTGGGACTACTGGACATACCCTGGTTCTCTTACAGTCCCACCGCTTCTAGAGAGTGTCACATGGATTGTTTTAAAACATCCTATAAATATCAGCTCTCAACAGGTAAGTCACTTCTTCCAGGTTTCTCCCAATTCATTAGAGAAAAACAGGTTAAAAGTAAAAAAAAAAAAATAAAAAAAAAATCCCAATTTCTGTTGCGTTATGAAACCTGTGTTTCCCTGCATTCTTCAGCGAGATGGTTGGAGCAGAGAGATTTATGCCATCTTCTTAGTTGACTTTCGTGACTAGATGCTTTCTTTCCCACAATGTGCATACAGATACAATGAAGAAAGCGAAGTGCCACTTGAAGGCATTTAATCACTTGCTTTTGTTTTCTGTGGTGTAAACAGACTGGGATACAAACAGGAAAATAGGGGAGGTTACTCTTAAAAGGTGGTATTCTTCTTATCCACCTTAGTGCCTCTACCTGCTTCTCTTACAGCCTTCACCTTCACAGAGTGCACAATGAGGACAGTGAGAGGCACTGCACCCTAAGAAACCTGTATGTCTGCTTAATGGAAAGATCTTATCTTTTGTCTTCTGTGGACAAAACTTTTGTAGGGCTGCTGGTGAGGCTTCGTGAATTTACTTAGAGGCAGTGGAGTGGCTGTCTATGCTGCCCTAGTAGAGATATTAACTCACTTGTTTTTCTGATAAATGCTTACTGAGCCTTAAAGATAAGGCAAGCAAGGTACAGGTTCAGAATGCCTTTGATGCCCAGTATTGCTGCTCAGAGTCCTGAACCATGTGATGCCCAATTTGGCAGATGGAGGCTGCTTGTTCTGGATGTTGTACTTAGGGGTTTTGGTTTGCAAAATCTTAGCAAGAACAGAGTCTAGTTGGTTTGCGAAAATCTTAGCTGTGCTTCGTCCTTCTGCCTGCTCTGCTGTCTCTGGTGAATTCTCTCATGCACTTCTGACAGCATGTCTGAGTGCTAGAACAGAGTCTAGTAATTTCTGTAACTAACAAAGTTTCTGTACTGGACTTGCCCACCTTCTTGTGTGTTCATTCCCCTTACCCCCACCAAAGGCTAGAAGCTGGTTTGCTTTACCAAGGTCGTATCAGGTAACTTTTCCCCTTGGCGTGCTGAACTTATCCAACTTCTGTTGACCTGATTTTAGGATGAAAGCCAAATCATAATCTGAGGCACACTTATTAAAACATTTTATTATAGTCTGCATAGAAATCCAGAGCTTGACTGACATGGAAATTCCTGTGATTTTCTTCCATCATAAATAATGTGAGTTGCATCATAAGAAAAATAACTTGTCATTGATTGCAAGGCCTGATTACTGGAGTTCATTTTTCTCCCCTTCATATACTTTGATATTCCCTTTTAAAATTTGAACAGATTAGTAGAAAGAGCTAATAAATTTTGATATCAAGATCATGTTTTTTCTCTCATATTTTAAGAGTACTTTTATTCCTTAAAGGCATTTGGAAAATAAGTTTGTTTTTTTTTAATACTTCTGTGATTTGGAAGAGAATATATCAACATGTAACTTAGTTCCTTAAAACATATAGTTAACCCAATCAAAAATCACTTCCTGCATTTAGAAACTGTGACTGCTTAGCTATGGATTCACTACTGTATCTTATGTGAGGATCAATTAATAATATCGATAAATGTGTTTTTAATGCATTATATAAAATAATAGCTGTATTCTAGAACTTCAGCATGATTGGTAATTCATTTCAAATTATAATAGCAGCAATACTTTTAGATATTTTTATTTTTAACTACATTAAAATGATTATCTGAGTAATAATCCAACTTGTTATGGTGATTTTAAGAGTTAAACAATAAGACAAGTGATAATTTAAAAAATTCAATGCTAGTCTAACTATGAAAAAAATCAGACAAAGCCCATTCTAGAAAATACTTGATCCAGTGCTCACCCAAACAAAGTCATCAAAAACAAGTATGAGAAATTTTCATAATCAAACGCCCCAGGAAACATGAATACCAAGCATAGTGCCATTTCTTGACAGGATCTTGGGACAGAAAGAGACAGTAGGTAAAAACACAGGAACTCTAAATAAAGGATGGGCTTCTGCCAATGATAGCATATTAATATTGGTTCATTGTGAAAAATATGCGATAAAGATGGTAGCATATAAATAATAGGGAAAACTGAGTGTGAGGTATCAAAGAATTATTTATACTACTGTTGCAATAATTCTGTAAGCCTAAAACTGTTAAGAAATAAAAGGCTATTTAAGAGACTCCAAACATGAGACTGTTGTTATTATTGTTATTATTATTATTGTTGTTATTATTGTTATCATTCAGAGTGTTATTATTCAGTTCCTTAGCTTTTTTAAGTAAGGTAAAATGAAAATGTCTTTTGTTGTGCTACTGACTTAAAACTTAGTTTCAAGAGAAAATTTTTATCTCACTTTAGTCAGCTCTTTATTTTTGGAGTTATTGGGAAATATTATATTTAATCATTTTCTTATTTCACCATAGAACATCACTAGTTATGAAGACTAACTCCTACTTTAAGTAAATTGTTGCCAATTTTTTTCTGGTTTTTTATACTGGTAATTCTTGCCAAATCACTATTTGACCAAAAGGTCAGATCAGATACTTTTTATTTTCTTTTTGTCCAGTTTCTCCTTCAGATTCACTTACTGAAATGTTTGATTTAACTGACATGCTAGAGAACAGGCAGACTGTTTTCTGATACTTTTGATCATAGAGCTGTCATTTTTCTTTGGAAGCTTGATTTTTCTTGCCAAGTCTCTTTGAGTTACTCTAAATTGGTTTACTCATCTGCTGAACCTCAGTGTACAGAATACTTGGCTTTACTTCTTTGCTCCTTTTTTTAAAATTTATTTTTCATTTGTTCTGATAGTTGCATACAGTAAAATTCATGAATTCTAGTATGCACTTGATGACTTGGTTATTATCTATTGCAATCAAATAACAGAATAGAGCTCTTTGCTGAAGAAGTCGCCTTGGGTTCCTTGGCACTCCACCTTCCTCATCTGTGGCCCCAGACAACCACTGAGATGTCACTAGAATTTTATCATTTCTATAATTTTATTTAAATGAGATCTTACACAGTACATAAACTTTTGTTTTTGATTTATTTTAGTTAGCATAACTAAACTAAACAAAAGTCATAACTGACTTTTGTTATTGAATAATATTGTATGGGATGAATATACCACATTAGTTTTTAATCTGTTTACCAATTAATGGACATTTGGTTGTTTCCAGTTCTGGGTTACTATAAAAAATAGCTCCCCATATTTGATATTAGAAATAATTGGCATACTTCATTTTGTGTGGATACTTATTTTTATGTCTGAGTCAACATCTGGAACTACAATTACAAGACCATGTTTCATCTTCCATTTTCATAAGCAGTGAATTCTAGTTGTTCCACATCCTTATCAGCACGTGGTGTTATTAGTTTTTTTTTTACTTTAATTATGTGTGATTTTTTTTCATATTGGAAAGCTAATGTGTCAGTGGCCTTGTAACAGGATCTAATTGTAAAAGGATCTAATTATGTTTGATTTTAATTTTTTTTAAAGATTTATTTCATTATACAAGAGCTGGGGTACAGGCCAGATTCACAGGAGGGTGAGAGGATTCACCAGAGACAGAGCAGGGAACAAAACAGGCAGACTGAACGAAATACACTGCTGAGGGGAGCAGCTTGTGAGGCAGGAGAGGTCTGCTGGCCATGTGGGTTGCTCTGAGACAGCGGGGATGAATCGGCACTGCAGGGGCTGCGGCCAGCTTCACAGCGCTGTGCTCAACAGTCTGCGCCACCAGAGAGGCCCTGATTTTAATTTTTATTTATGTGATGACTAGTGGTGTTGAATATTTTTTTCCTATCCTTGTTGACAATGCATATAACTTTTGGTTGAAGTATCTGCTCAAAACCATTTGCCCATTTTTAAGTTAGATTGTTTGTAGTTCTCATTGAGTAGCAAAAATTTTTATACAGCCTGGGTAGAAACCCTTTTTAAAAATACATATTTTGTAAATTTTTTAAAAAGATTTATTTATTTATCTATCTATTTATTTATTTATTTATACAAGCACTGGGTACAGTCAGAAGCGCGAGAGGGTGAGCAAATTCACCAGAGCCAGAGTAGGAAACAGAACAGGCAGACCGACGAAATACACTGCTAAGGGGAGCAGCAGGCGGCAGGAGAGGTCTGTCGGGCCATGTGGGACCCTCGCTGGCGGCTGGGGATCGAACCCGCGCTGCAGAGGCTGTGGGCAGCTTTGCAGCCCAGCTCTCAACCCCTGCGCCACCAGGGGAGGCCCTAAGTATTTTTTTTTAATGCGAAAATTCTTAATCTTGATGCAGATCATTCTATTAATTTGTCTTTTATAGTTTGGCTTTTGGTGTCTTCTAAATAAATAGTTTATAGTGTTTTTTTTTTTTTTAATAGAGGCATGTTTTTATTTATTAATTTATTATATTTGTTTGTTTGTTTTGTTTATACATGCACTGGGTACAGTCAGAAGCTGAGAGAATTCACCAGAGCCAGAGTGGGAGCAGAGCAGGCAGAAGGACTGAAGTACACTGCTGAGGGAGCAGCGTGCAGGAGAGATCTGCGCACCATGTGGGATCCTCCTCCGGTGGCCGGGGAGCAGCCGAACCGGCGCCGCCGAGGCCGCAGCTTCGCACCCAGCGCTCAACCGCTGCGTCTTCTAAATAAATATTTGCTTATAGATGCAACTTTTTTCTTTTTAAATAATAATTTGGATTTTATATTTACGTCTGATTAATTATAAGTTAATTTATGTGTATATTGTGTCATCTTCTTTCCTTTTGATATTTCAATTACATATGTATTCGATCTTTTAGTATCACCTAGCAGTACCCCAAGACTATTTTTAAAAAAAAACAATTTCTTTATGTCTATTTGACACTGTGAAAAACTTCTATTGATATAAATTCAAGTTCATTTACTCTTCCCTCTATTGTGTCAAATACACACAATTTTTTGTGTTTTAGGAATATATTTTTTAGTTCTAAAATTTCTATTTGGTTCTCGTTCACTAATTTTATTTCTCTGCTGGGATTACTTACCACTCTGCTGAGATTTCTCATGCATTAAAAAATAGTTTTAACTTAATCTAACCATCAGGTATTACAAGTAGTCACTTCAAAATCAAAGGATTTTGATTCCAAGAGAGAGAGCCCTAGATGGTTCATCTTGGATTGGACTTGATTTTTCTTTCTTTGAGAATGTGTGTGTTCCATCTTCTTGATTCTTCACATAATGAGTAATTTGTGTGTGTTCTATATGTTATAAACATTAAATTGTAGAAATTCTGGATCCTGTTATTCTCACATGAGTATTATTTTATTTCTTTTAGCAGATTATTTTCTAGGCTGGGCATAACATGCAACTTTTCTTTCTTGTGCAATAGCTCTGGTCTCAGGTCAGCTGGGGTGTCTGGAGTTTCTGTACTACACATGCATAATTCAGGGATAGAGTCTGGGACACCTTTCTCTGGCTCTTTCCTTTCAGGATAGGTGTGCCCCATTATACTGGGTGTACCTTGCAGATGCCACTAAGCTGAAAAACTGGAGAGACAGCTCACTTGTAGAGACTCTATAAGTGAATGACAGCAGAACTCACAAGTGAGTTCTTGTCTCTCCCTCAAGAGAATGTGAGCGCCCCACCCCTACCTGAGTCCCTCTGTTTCTTTTCACTCCCTCGTACGTGCAACTATATAGTTGTTTTTAATAGTTGCCTGGGTTTTAGAATTGTTTTCTATTGGGAGGTTGTCTTATAGGGTTTAAGTCCAGCATATCTGGAAACAAAACTCTAATATTCTGTTTCCATTGTAAAATTTTGCATTTTGCAATCAATGATAAGAGTAAGAATATTTTCCACATCTTTATTTATTTTTTAAATATTTATTTATTTATGCATACAAGAACTGGAGTACAAGCCAGAAGTGTGGTGGGGTGGGGGCGGAGGTGGGAGAGAGGATTCACCAGAGACACAGTGGGGAGCAGAACAAGCAGATTGACTGAAATACACTGCTGAGGGGAGCAGCGGGCAAGGCAGGAAAGGTCTGCTGTGCTATGTGGGTAGCTTCCTGGCTAAGGCTCAAACTCATGCTGCAGTAGCTGCGAATTGCTTAATAGTGCTGACGCTTAACCCCTTATGCCACCAGGGAGGCCCTTATGTTTAAAACTTTTTATTGTAAAAAATAAATAAAAAGGATTAGGGGGAAATAACCAAGATAAATAAATAAAAAGAAGAAAGAAATGCAATGTAGTGTTGTGGTTAATGTATGACTTATTTGCCAGGTGGCAAATAAACATTTAAACTTTCTAACTACCTCTGAAGATCTTTGTCTTTAAAATGGTGATAATAGTATGTTATTGACAGAATTGTTTGAGGATTCAATGAAATAATGTAATACAAAACACTTAGCTCAACACCTGGCACAGTATATTCCGTAAGAGAGCGTTTATTTTTATTATTACTTAGCTTTTGCAGGTGGGAGAATGCTTACAAAGATATTTGAGCATTAAAGTGACATAATAAAAGGTATTTGCAAAGCATTAGAAAAGAGTATTTCTGCTTGGCGGGGTTATTCTACAAGGAAATTAAAATTGCAGTATTAGAGCCAAAGAAAATAGCAAAACAGATCATACTATACCCACTTTGCCTCCGGGGGACTCTGGGGAGTCTTCCACCAGGAGCCACTAGTTGCTGAGTCAACTTTAGTGATAGAAGGATAGATTTTCTGTCTGAATGATGCCAAGGGACTAGTGAGGGATAAAACTGGTTGGGGTCAGTCAGAAGGGTACATTTTGAGATCAGTGTAGTTGTAGAGGACCCCAGAGCCAAGAGAAGCAAATCTGAATGGAGGATTGGCTGATGCAGGACTTTCCTAGTGGGGTGTTTGCAAGGGAGCTTCACAGCCAAAAGGGGAACGGATTTGATGAGCCATCAGGATAGTTTCAGGGAGCACTGCGAACAATAGCTGGCTGTTCAGAGAAAGATCTAGATAAGTTCAACTCCTAGACTATGATTTGCCTTGATCAACTTGCAGTGGGTCAGAAGTGGGGTGGATGGGATAAATAGAGCCAGGATTTCCAAAGGAGTCAGCGGTTTTCCTGGGAGGCTAGTTGAGCCGAGTAAGGCCAGTGAGTCAGTGCCCTGTTTCAGACTCAGGATTCTTGCATCGACACCTAAAGTGGCCACTCCAGACATGCCTGGATTACTGTGATTTGCAGAAAGCTGAGTGTCTTCCTTGTGTCTCCTCAGCTTCTGCTAATTGACATTCCCAGGGAATTTCTTAGTGTAGTTTTACCTATAACAATTTGTCACTTGAATGAAACTTGAGCTGTAAATATTTGACTTGTCATTCCTATACTTGAACCATTTAAAAATATACCTCAAAATGTCACTTGTGGAAATACATGGCTATTTGTATCTGATGCCTGAATTTATTTCCATAGAGTATGGTTATAAACTCTTGCCTATTTACTGTGACTGGGCTCATCCTCTTCGCCTCCCATCCTGATGAATATAGCGTGAGAAATATTTTAGGCTTCAGTGAAATGATGATGTTGGGAACTTAATTGATGTGTGTTAGTCTGAATTTGTTTGACTCTTTAATTAGGTGACTAGCAAAGCTTAAAGGATGGAATTTCTCATCAATAATAATTTGTCTACATTCAAATGAAATAGCAAAACAAATTTCAAAAACTTAATTATATTAATTGGCAATATGTTTTCGGTGAACATTTTTGAGACAGTAGAATTATTCAGGTAACTTACCCAGTAGTCTTTAACTACTGCAGACCTGTGCTAAATCTTGATAAGTAAACATTGAATTGATAGGTTATATTACTGTTGATAAGTAATATTAAATCACCAAGAAGCTATTATATAATTTATAAAACATGCTTACAATAGAAAACTTTTCAGTACTAAAAACCAGTGACAAATATTTTTGACATGCAAAGATGTTTGGTGTATACTAAGTGGAAAAATAAGGTTATTATAGAGTTGAGCTCATTTTTGTACTAAAACTTGTCAAATATAAAGTTGTCCATGGGCATACATGTGCTTGTGTTTATAAATAGGTAAACATCTGGAAGGTGTTTTATATATATATAATATTTTCCTCTATATATTATATTTTTCTGTATGTTATATATAACAATATATAATCTTAATATGGCTATATCTTGTGATATGATTACTGGTAGTTTCTATTTCCTTCTTGATATTTTGTGCATTGTATATAGAGTGTAAGATAAGTTGGCCCTATTGGTGAGAAATATGCCTGTACTACTTAAATAGTATTTAAACATTACCAGAAGCTGATTTAAACATTATTAGAGGCTAATTTAAACATTATCCTATACTTTTTCCATAATTATTTATTTGCAAAGCACAAGTATGTTGAGAGCAAAACTATTGTTTAACGAAATAATGCTTATAAAATAAAATTCTACAGGATGAACACCACATGATTCCCATAAAAGCTGGGAATCATATATACTGGTGAGCTTGTAAGTTTTCCAAGGGCTGCAAGATAACTATGGAAGAAATCTAATCAATGGCTCACTTATAGATGAGGAAGCTGAAGAGTAAGGACAATAGACTATTTGCCCAAGGTCACACAGCTACTTAGTGGCAGCACCAAGGCTGGGACCTGCCCTGAAAGCCAGGCAGTATGCTTTCCATGGTCCCATTCTGCCTCTGTTGGTGACATTCCCTCTTTCTACATACGTACATCTGAAGCCATGATCTAAATATTGTTTCCTTAAATCTTCAAATCAAGGATGCTACCTACTTAATTTTTAAACCCATGGGTATTTGTGTAGTGGTGACAAATTAGTAGAATTGTTGCTTTATTATATATGGCACATAACTTAGAACATTTTCATCATAATATTTTTAGTCCATCATGGAGGAAAGGCTTTTATGGTTCTTAACTTTCTATGCAGGGCACTTCATTAACATTTGTGTGAATCTAAATGCTAAACTAACTTCCCTCTGTTCTTCAACAGCTGGCCACGTTCCGCAGCCTCCTGTGCACAGCAGAGGGGGAAGCAGCAGCCTTTCTGTTGAGTAATCACCGTCCACCACAGCCTCTGAAGGGCCGGAAAGTGAGAGCCTCTTTCTATTAACAGTTATCACCAGTGGACCACCCCAAACATGTCTGAAGAGAGAAACCAAAAGAAAACACAAAAATTCCTACTAACTGCTTATTCAAAAATCCTAATTTACAGGAAACCATTTTGCTATCAGCTTCAGCACCACGAAGAAAATAAGATCTCTTTAATAACTAATTTAACTCATCGAGCTCAGATTTGCACTCATCGGTATTCATTCAAGCAGTGATCATTATTCAGCGTGTATGGAAACCCATGAAATGTGTCTTCTTCAGCCTGCCTGAAAGCATGGCTGGCATGGCAAACTTGCAGTGTATTAACAATTTTCCCTTGTGGTAGAGACTGATCAGTCTCCTCTCTCAGTGATGTTTGGTGAAAGACTGAAATTCATTTATAGAATGGAAGATTGTGGTATCTTTTTCTAAGTAGGTGATTCTCTTTAAGGTCTTTATATCATTCTAATACATACATTCTAAAACAGACACTATTTTCTTTTAAAGTGAATTTGTGTTTTTATTTTGTTGCTAATTCTTATTGCACCCCTTTCATAAAATGAACAGTAAGGGTTTATGGGGGTGGGGTGAGATTTAGCTACTTAGTGTATCTAACTCCACAGCTCAAAAAAGGCCATGCAATTTTGTGGAAGAATTCCTTCAGACGTAAGTGGCTATTTAAGCTTTAATGAGTCATGCTGTCTATCACATTCTCTCAATAATATTAATGATAATCTGGCTAATAATTGACCAGATGCAGCGCTTGCCAATTTGTGGCATTAACATGGTTTGAAATAAACAGATCACCAGGTACCAGTGCAGGGCTTAAGGGGATGATGAATGGATTGTCAACTTTTGCCCTGTGTTTTGGCCAAGGATGGACCAGCAGTCCTGTGCAGATGGTTGTTCTGTTACCTAGTGGAAGATATTACTTCAGTCTCTCAAATATACTGTCAGTCCACAAACCCTTCAGCCACTGCTGCGATAAAGCCCTTTCTCCCTTAACACACATTTCTCTTAGGGAATTTTGTGAGATGAGTCTAAATACCCATTTTAACTCATTATCTTATGTATATTTTTGTTTGTTCACTTTTGGTGAAGGAGGTTGGGGGAAGGGTCATTTTGCTCTTGGTGTCAATGGAGCGACACCAAGGATTAGCTTAATAACCACATCTAAGGCAAACATATACTAGACTTCTTTTATTTTCTGAGAGAAGTTTAACTGAATTTCCCTGATTTTGATGACTTGTTTCAGACACCTTTCTTCCTCTGGACATAGCTTTTAATCATTGAATTTATTCTATAATCGTCTTGACAGGATAGCTGAGCATCAGTAAACTGTGTAATGATCATGTGCATGGTTGCATAAAAGAGGTTTCTGAAAGCTAAAAGCTGATACCTTGGCGATGTCTGTTTTCTCCTCATAGTATCTAACTTGAATCTTTGCAGGTGATTGACATGTGGTAAATATTTAATGAATTGAATACTTAAAAGATATATTTGATCTTTGGTAATTATCTAGCTTCTGTGTACTATATAAGTTAATGTGTAACAAGTAAAATATAAGTTATCTCTTGAAAATTGTGTCTTCATAAAGGAAAACCCTATTAATTCTTGTATAACCAAATGTTTTAATCATTTTAAAATGCCCAGATTTGAATGGGAGGCCTTTCTTTAGTTTGGAAAGATGTATATCATCTTAGTCAGGGAAAGAAGTACGTTTTCTCAGAGAAAGTAAGTCTTGTTATCCCGAGGGGCATGAGAAGGGGGTTGTAATTACTGTGTATGAAAGTTACCACTCTGTAACTCACAGTTTTGGCTACAGTGTTGTACTGGTTTTATGCTATAAAGTGGACTCCAGTAGACCAAAAAAAAAAAAAAAAAAAACCCTACACATCACTGTTTCCTTTGAAATTGCCTGCTAATTTATCTATCTTAGAGGCAAAAGGTCTAAGTGTATGTTATACTTGTTATCTTTTGAAAAGATTAAAGAGTTGTAAATACTAATACAGATCTCTTTTTGCTTTTCACATGTATTAGATTTATGTTTATTAAGCATTTTGTATTTTATTTTAAAGTGGATTCAACCACAATAAAGAAAATAAGACAAACTTTGATCTGAACTTTTTCATACAAGACACAGAATGAGATTATGTTTTTGCACTGTTTATCTAGAAAATAATCCCAAACTCTCAGAAGAAATACAAATAGTGTGCAACCCCTTTTTTCTGAAATATTTGAGAATTAGTTGCCAGCCTGGAGCTGCATCAACCAACAAAATTTTGTATTTATTTCCTCCAGCTAGGACAAAACCTCACATAACCATAATAGAGCTAAAACAACCATGAGAGTCACATTGATTTCCTATTGCCATTCATCCTTTAGAGAATAATTTATTCTTTGAGTTGTCATATTGTCTTCGGTAAGGAACGAATTCTCAATGTTTCCTTAGTTTTCATGATTTTGATATTCCTGAAGATTATAAACTTCTTATTCTATAAAATGGCTCTCAATTTGGTTTGTGTTATGTTTTCTTGGGATTAAATTCAGATTATGCATTGTTGGTAGGAATATCACAAACCATGTTGTATGCTCTACTCTTCTCATTGTATTCTATTAGGCAAACAATTTTCAGTTGTTGTTTTATGAAGTATATTGGTAAGTAAAATGCACTCTTTATGGTATTTAATTCAATGGAGAGTTCTCTGGTGTGGCTGGGAATTTATCGTTGTGATACTGGAATTGTCAGGCCTAGTCTCCCAGCCAGGAACAGATCCCAGGCTGCAGGTGCAGCGCTGAGCCCCAGCCACTAGACAACCACGGTTGGTGTCTCACGAAGCTGCAGCAAGAACTTCGCAGACGCTCAGGCAAGCAAACGAGAAGAGGCAGGTTTGTTTAGAGAAAGAAAAAGTTTATTGAGGAGAAAAGGAACAGAAATAAAGTGGGACTCCCAGGCCATGGAACCAGGCCAGGGAGGGGCAAGGAAGCCAAAGTGGAGTCATGTCTCAGGGAATATACACCTTCTTTCCCTCATTATTCTAGAGCTCCACCGGTCTCTTTGTGATTGGTTAGTTCTTGGCTGTCTCACTTAATCTGCTAGTGAGCGGAGGATCTTCTAACTTATCTAACAGGTTTGTCTTTCCCCATTTGTTCCACCTTCCCCCTTGTTTGATAGATTTATCTTTATGGCCCAGTCTCCAAGATGAGTAACCCTGCATTTTAGGGAAGAGAAAGTTAAACATCAGCTATTGAAGAACAGGCTGATGCCCACTGGTGCTGACCCCTTCTCATCTTCCCCTTGCATAAATATCCCTGCACTCTGACAGAGGGAGGACGGTGATCTACCAGACATGAGGCTGCTGCCCTCCTAATTTGTCCATAAATTAAACCACTCTCCGTTTCCCCAAATTCCACCTCCCTTTATCACCTGAGGGAAACCAAGGCCAGCGTTAACAATGTTGTCCTTGGTCCTGGGATGTTTGTTTTTCCCAGTGGAATTAGTTACATTCTTCTAGTTGTCCTTATCTTTGAAGCCTTCCTAAACTCTTCAGAGGTCCCTTCCTGCAATGTCCCTAAAACTGCCTAATTACCCTAACTTGCCCTATGTCTCAGTTACCTTTCTAGAAAGGAATTACAACAAGCAGAGATTCCTTAGACCCTGTCATGAGCTGAGAAAAATCATGTCTGAAGAACTTTGATGTGTCCTGGCTTCACCACTCCCGCTGTCATAAATCACCTAGTGGGGCCTCCCCTGGTGGTGCAGCGGTTGAGCACTGGGCTGCGAAGCTGCCCACAGCCTCTGCAGCGCCGGTTTGATCCCTGGCCACCAGTGAGGGTCCCACATGGCACGATGGACCTCTCCTGTCTCGCCCACGGCTCCCCTCAGCAGTGTATTTCGTCGGTCTGCCTGTTCTGTTCCCTGCTCTGGCTCTGGTGAGTTCTCTCACCCTCCCGCGCTTCTGACTGTACCCAGTGCTTGTATAAATAAATAAATAAATCTTTTAAAAAAAAATCACCTAGTGAATGAAAGTGGGTACATTCAACATACTTGTTTCAAATGAGTTTTCAATACAAGCTTCTCTAGGTGCAGAGGGTCGTTTATATGTTAATAGATCAATGAAAATGTTCATAGATTACTACAGAAACTCTTGAATTTGTGTGTCAGTGACTTCAGATGAATCGTAACATAGAACTAAGTTCCTTTTGAAGTTATGACAAAGAAAGAAATGTTATACAAAGAATTTGTTTATTAACAGAAACTGCTGAAATAATTACCTTCATGGAGGTCATTTTAGTTCTATGATATGCTTTTATCAGAAAAAGTTGGAGATAGAGTCCCTCTTTGTTTTCCAAGCACAAACATATAATTATTTTTTATTTTATTTTATTTTATTTTAAATAAATTTTATTTTTATATTCCCCATACAATTGCAACCCCCTTATTTTGACCCCAATCCCTCCCCTCCCCGCCCCCCACCCCCCATAGAGTGTCTCTGGTTCATAGTTGTTTGTTGATTTTGATTTTCACTTTCTTATAGTCATTCATTTTCCTGGTCCCTTATTTAAGTTTTCTAGATTCCTGCTATGAGTGAGACCATCTGGTATTTTTCTTTTTCTTTTTGGCTTATTTCTCTGAGCATGATCCCGTCCAGCTCCATCCATGTTGCTGCAAATTGCATGTGTTTATCTTTTTTGAATGCTGAGTAATATTCCATGGCATATATGTACCACATCTTCTTGACCCAGTCATCTATTTTTGGGCATTTGGGCTGTTTCCAAAGCTTAGCTATTATAAATAGTGCTGCTATAAACATAGGGGTGCAGGTGCTCTTTGGAATTGATGTTTCTGTGTCCTTTGGGTAAATACCTAGGAGTGGAATTGCTGGATCATATGGAAGCTCTATGTTTAGTAGGTCCAGAAATCTCCACACAGCTCTCCATAGTGGTTGGACCAGTTTGCACTCCTAAACATATAATTAAATGCCATTGACAATTAAAAAAAAAGCACCAGTTTCCAATAAGAAAACAAAAACCATTCAACATTGTTAGAGGAGGGCATTAAATACTTGGAGTTGGTTATGCAAGTAGTGCAAGATGTTGAAAACCAAACCGGAATGGTGAGACAATCAAGAGATTAGCAAGAGTAGGAAGTTTGCTCCATTCTTAGGAGGAAGCAATGTTCCTGGGCCCCAGGAGCCATAGACACACAGTTGAAGCTGAAACTAGTGTTATCTTAATCATCAGAATCTAGTTATTTTTTTTAGAATGATACTGCCACAACCTGAAACTTTGATGCAAAGATAGGGCGAGAAATATGCTGGATTCTCTTTTTATTTCACCCTCCAAACTCCCACTGGTACCCATTGGTGAAACCAAGCCAGAGGTCAGATAACATGGAACTCTGAGAGGTCATTTCCTCTGTTATACAAAGCATATTCGTGGAAAGGTCTAGGTAAGGTACCAAGAACTGTGGTACCTTATGCAGATCAAACAATGACTATGATGCCGGGATGAAAGTCTTTCTCCCACTCTGGGAATTTAATCTAACCACCATTTATCAGGCATCTTACAGGGGCTAAATAGTGTGTTAGGTACTAGACATATGAAGATAATTAAGATATGTTTCCTTCTTCTAAATAGGTTAGAACCTTCCAAGACAAGTATAAAAATAAGTTGAAGCATATAAATATTAGTATTTTAATGTGGGGTATCTGTAGAGTGCTAAGGGGACATGGTAATATAGATTAATCTGGGGAAAATAGCAAAGGCTTGTAGATTTGCAAGTGTGAGCAATTTGGAAATTGGGTCCTCTGATTCTCTTGTTTTGGCCCTAGTGCTTGGGCATAGAGAAATATAACAGTGAGGACTTTCTTGAGAACAATAGAAACTCAGTGCAAAATGGCTAAAGCAAACAATGGAATTTGTTGATTAACAGAATTGAAAAGTTTAGGGGGAAGGTGACTTACCTCCTGGTAAAGGTAGGGGCTCACACCCGGTCTCAGTATTCTTTCTTCTTGGAGATTCTTTCTTCTTATCTATCCCTCTGTGGGCACAATTAATAGTTAGATTCTCCCTTTATACTGGAAGGATATAAACTTGCACCTCTATACCTAAAATTTTCTATTTTAAACATCCATTTTTTCTAGATGGATCACACGCCCACTCTTAATGAAGTTATTATGGCTAGTGGATAGACTGTTGGCTCAGGAAAGCAGGTCGTTTCAACTCCTTCTAAAACTAATATTAGAGGAGGACAGGCTACCATACAGGAAAACTGGGCACCTATATCTGAGGAAGAGAGAAAAGATTCTGGGTAGCAAAAACAACAAATGTTTATTTTGGACTGAAGATTGGCTGAAGACAGGCCTGAAAACACTCATGAGATAATTCAGACGTTCCAGGAAATAACTATAGTTCACCTAAAGAGATGGAGTATCTCAGCAAATGTAAGATCAGGATTTCCATTAGGACAAAAGACTTTTTTTTTTCCTGCTAATGCTTTAAGTGATGTTGAGGCTTTTCCACAGTAATAAGAAAGGATACCAATTGTGAGAGCCAGATACCTAACCTGAAAATGGCAACCCTGGCAGTTTCAGCAGGACAGAGCTACTTGTTCACTCAATTCAGTTGGTCTTCCCTGTAGGACTCATGAGTAGACACTGGATTCTGACCACTATGGTCTCTTCTGACTTGTCTAGAATTTCAAGGAGACTGAGATGTTGCTGTTATTTCTTGTCCTTTTCTCTCTTAGCTTCCTTAGGACTTGTCTAGCAACCAATGTGGATTGGTTGTGACTACAATGCCAACCTTATTTTTACAGGTGGCTGAAAAGTATATGTTGAAAACATTAATAAATGAACACATGGATGAATAAATACCTT